TAACAATATATTATTCAGTCTTTTCAGTTTTTCAGTCAATTTTAAGACATATCCACTGCGGTAATTCAGTACTGTTCAGACAATTCGCTTGCGGTCAATTAAGATCTGTTTAGTGTATGTTCAGACAGTGTAGAAGTTGTTTACCTGAGTGTATACATCAGCATCATACTGAATTTTCTGAAAATCTACTCAACAGTACTGAACAAACTGCAAGCAAATTTTCTGAACAGTTCTGAATTTACCGCATTAGATTAGTCTGAAAATTAACAGCAAGAATGGACATAAATGTAAAATTTATTGTTTAGATTTTCAGTTGCTGCTCAGACTTTTCAGATGATGTTCAGATCAGAATGACCGTTTTAGACTAAAATTAGTTTGCTGGTGAATTATTATACGGCTTTGATAAAAATTCTTGCGGTTTATAAGAAAATAGTATCACACAAAAAGCAAAAACAAGTTCAGATTAAAATCATTTTTTAAAAAGAACTAAAAGATTGGAAGAAACGTAAAAAATTCCCAAGAAGTCCATATAAAGAAATTAAGAGACACGTTGTAGCTATAAAAAAGAGAGTCGAAAGATACCAAAGGGACATTCAATATTCGGCAGAGCTCATGTTGTTTTATTATTTCAACAATAATTTCCCAGAAAAATAAAGAATGTTCACCTTTTAAAAGCCATGGTTGGAAAAAAAAACTCAGAAAATGTGAACTCTGTTTCGGATATAATGTCGGAAGTTTGAAGTTAAACCGGAAACAAGTTGTTAGTTGACCGCATTTTCCGTATAACCTGCTCCGTGTTTACCAATGATAGATAGTTACTAGTCACATGCAGAATGATCTGAAAAACGCACACTATTCACAGAAACGTTTTACCTTTTTTCCGTGACATTTAGAAAACAAATTTCATAAATACTCACACTTTGTATATCATATCTCAAAACTGTCTTCATAAACATTGGTATACTTGTTACTAACGCAAATAATACCCAGTTTACACAAAAGCGAGCTACGAGAATTGCAAGAAATGGAGGATTTTTCGCTATCTGGCACCATGGAACAACAGCTGTCTGAAATACAAAAAAACATGTGTTATCAAAATGTCTTTTAGAAATAGCAATTATGTTAACAATAATGAACTCTGAATAAGGGGTTTTCAAGATTTTGTGACAAAAAGTCATCAAAAAGATAGTTTACGCGTATCCCTAAAAGCATTTTTCTAATATTAACACTCATCTGTTTAGAACTTCAACAGAACGGTTATGTGTCTCTATTTTTGGTTTTCTTTAAACTGTACGCTTGGATATTATATTACAGAGGTAAGGAATGAAAAGTCATTATTAAAAACAATGTCAGATACCAAAATCAGCAAACCATTTAAGCCGGAATAAGACAGACAACATTCTACGTAAATAAAAACTAAAAAATAAAACTAAAGATTGAAAAGCACAATTCCAAAACTCCACCTAATTGCGGAAAAGAACCCCGTGCTTAGTAAGCATTTCATATTCCCATGCTGGTCATGTCATGTTAAAAGCCGATGATAAGTTGTTTTGAGAGATATTCATAAACAGAAGGCAATAACAAGGTTGTTGCCACGACAAATTGGAACATTTATATGATTGACTGCAATCAAAAATTCAATTACGGTCAACCAAGTCATGATAGCGTCCGCAAAACTTTGGAAGAGATAACGTCAGCGTTACACTGAAAACAAATGATAGCAGTAACATTTTTGTGAGCAGCAATACTCTTTCAATAAAACTCTATCTTGGATTGCAAATACGATTGTAATATGCAGCTCCTTTGTTTAACTGCAATCTTGGATCAATTTTGTTTAAGATATCTTATCTTGATACATAAAAGGTATTCATCGTAAAATATAACAGCAAGTCGAACGAAACAACTAATTATGTATCGATCTAGTCTTAGAGATTGAGGATAATGTTGATGCTGCAGTATGTTTCATTTGTCTCACTATACTCTCTCTTACATTTTATTCTTTGATATGAAGATGATGGTATTGCCAATTATTGTAAAGTACGAATACCTGACACGAGTTACATTTGTCACTTGTATGACCACTCAAATAACTGAACATTAAGATGTGTTCAATGACGACAATGTCATCTTTTCCATATGATCTGACACCCTTCTAAGTCAAAAAAGAGGCAGAAGGGAAAATAGAAATCGTAAGTCGTTGAATAATCGTCAACACCATGGCAAAAAAAAAAACAAAAACAACAACAGCAAAACGAAGAAACGAAAAACATGTCTACAAAACTGAATACTGACCAAAACGAACACTACCAAAAACCGTGAATAAATAAAAGTTTGGAAAATGAACAAATAAGGACAGATTAAAATATTACCCGTTTGCTTGTGTCAAATTGTATGTTTGATTTGATTTAATTTAGCTCTTCTTTGGTTATCCATCGATTCATGTCTGGTGTATCACGTACACACTAAAACCATGCTATAGCCCATACAATTGTTAATCCACCTGAAATGATTCATACAATTTGTTTTCTAAAATGTTTGTCTCTTATGGATGTGACCTGTTATTTATTTCTCGAATTAAAAGATATTTCTCACTAAAAATTCGTTAAATTGATTGGCTTATCCGGCATAATGAAATGATATTACGACATTTCAATTGGCCATTCGTTAGGTTATTAATGACTTTCAAAGATCAACATCATTTCCTCTATGGCAACGAAGACTGTGATTTCTTCAATAATATACAAAACACAAATTTTTTTTTGTCAAATTTTACTACATAATGCATGAAGTTACAAAAACTTTAAAATGTATAATGTAAAACTTTGAGGCGGGAACAGGACAGATGACGTAATAATGGTATGCTCGAAATACTAGATCAACGAGTCGCGCAATTTTATGTGTATCACAAGAATATTTACCATAATAGAAATAGGTTGAAAAAATTGTGAGAATTGGATATCGTTTGATATCAACTCTCGTTATTCAATTTAAATAGTTATAATAAGCAAGTTGTTTAGAATGTGTTTAACATTAGAGAATAAGCAGCTTATAGAAAACACAAAATTCGCATATTTCCTATGTTTATGTACTTTAACGTTATGAGTACTAAATGTATGATCTTACATTAAAGTTTACAGAAAAATCACAAACCATAATTCTATTCGATTCTTCTTTGCTTTAAAACTTAAAAAAATGTATCCACACAATCATTTATGTTTGTATTTGGGTTTTACTGTGGACTGTCATAAAATGACCACCATATTGCATCACAGATGAATGCGTTCGTGATGTTGTTGCCATTTTATCAACAAAAACAAGAATACTAGTTAATTTTTTTGTTGGTATTAGTAAGCTTTAGCTTTATATAACAGGAACATCGTATACTTTAGATTCTAAGATATCAGTCGCATTGCTCATTCTATCAAACAATGTGTGCATGTACCGGTATACATGGTCATGTGACAGTCCACAATTTGTTAACTACTTTTTCAGGAAATAAAGAGTTATTACTATTCACTTTACTCTATTTTACTTTAAGGTTACTTTTTCAGTGACGCACACCATACGTGTCCTTTTATTCTTATTCAATAAAATCAACCTACGTCATTACTGTAGCTCTTTGAATTACTATTGCCCCTTAGCCATTTTGTTTTGCAGGATATGAATATGACAGGAATTTAGAGTCTACTTGATTTAATGTTGTGCAATGTTCGATACATTTAAAAAAAAAATTTTATTTTTCTTAAACCAAAAGAATTTGGGGGGGATCCTTATATGGGCTTCAATATAAATATTAAATAATGTACTTTGGATAACCAAACAGTGATAAAATATTTAGACATAGTATACTTTTATATAAATACTTACCGGTCAAGTAGAAAATGGACCCCCATCCATTGTCAAAGTCATGCTTACAAAGGTAACCAGATGTTACAAATGATATAACAATACCAAATGGCACACCTGAAGACAGAATTACTCATTATATAAGTTTGGCTTGAAATCAGAATTCTAATTTTATATTCTTTTCAAAGTATATTCGTACAAAAATCAAATGCACATATGATAGCCAAAGAAAAAAATATCAAAATATAAGACACATCTCGAAAACGTATAAAAGTTATAAAAACATATCAACGACCCTACAGTCAAAAACATCCTAAAAACTTCTTTTATGTCCATTTTTTTTTAATTCTTTAATGTTAAACTCATGATCAAATTCAGTTTTTATGGTTATATATATATTTCTATTACTGCAAAAAACATTAATAATGAATTTGTTGCTTTCATATGCTATGATATGTATTTTATTCGTGCAGAAATTATGATTTGTCCTTAGACAGTGATTTCTTTTAAAATTTAGAACATACAAAATAATGGCAAAAAACATGACTTATTGTTGGCTTTTAATGTAAAAATGTAAGAATTTATTGAAAACTATGTGTTTTTTTTTATATAAAACATGTAAAATATATTATAGAATTTCGATTGGTGAAATAATTTTGACCTCTGACTCTACGAATTTATAATATGGGATTTGGGTCAATATCCCTAATGGACCTTGAGATGAGGAACACAGATTTATGACTTTCATTAAAAAATTAGTCCGCCATACAATTGTGGAAGCTGTGATTTTAAAAATTGACATAAATGAACTAGGACTGGTGTTTTATAGAGCTGATGTGATGTGAAAAAAGTATAAGAAAATAAACCTGAACAAATAACTACAAAGGACATATTTTTTAATGATTTTTATGGTCAGAATTGGGATTATTTCCTGAGGAGAGTAAACATTTTTCACTATCTTTCGGGGTTGGGCACTTGACGGGAAAACGAATCACACTTGCCACCCCGAAAATCGCACCACACATGTGCAAGTGTCTCAGCTTCAAAATGAGCCATCATACATATCCAAGTTTACGATATGGCCTGAGCAGCAGAAGAAAACGTTAACATTTCCGCCTATGGAGAATCTATTACGCATATTGCCCCACTTTGTGGCCTTGAATTTCAAAGGTGATGGAGTGTTTCATGGCTCAGTGACCACAATTTAGGATGATAGCTGCTGAAATCAAGGTCAGTTACACTCTTTTAGTGCTAATTAATAAAAAAAATACATAATGGATTCCCAAACGTTTGATTTGTATCAAAAATATACTAATTTTTTGTAGTTAAATAGCATTGATGCAGAAAATGGGTCATGTAAAATCTGGACATGGGCCATTCAGAGGAAAAGAAATTATATTTTAGGGATGCTAAATGTGGCTTATCCAAATGGAAAAAGGACAAAAATGAATGTTGCACGCTTGGCAAATATGTTACAGTTAAAAACAATTGACATTGATAGAAATTTAGATGCCTCGCACCTCTGCCATAATGCCTTGTGTGTTAATGCTGACCATATAATTTTTGAGCCCCATGATTTAAATAACCACCGTAAGGTCTGTGTAACTTCACAAAAATGCACCACTCATGAACTGCATGGCACAACATATCCTAACTGCATGTTGCATCTTAAACTGTGGTTTGTTCTATTTTTAATTCTAAAATTTAAGTCTCCGAGGTGACATATTGCACACTTCACTATGCATGAATCATTTACTCAAATACAAGTTTCTTACACTGCTAAAAAAATAGAAAATGGGATAAAAGCCCTCCCTCTCACCCTCCAAGACACTGAAACAAACATGCATGTTTATATTAACCTGAGGTAACACATTTTACGGCTTGTTTCACGAGTGTTTACCTTTTATTGACATAGGAGGGGGAGTAACTCTTGTTGTTTACAAATGTATTTTTAACTGTGTCAGGAAATTGGGACATTCAAACCACATGAACCAACTAAAGTAAGCATGCTTTAAAAGAAATCTTCAATATAAAAACCAAACAAATCAAACAAAAACTACAAAATTATAAAATTAGGATATCAAAAGTAAAATAAAAAGCTAACAGAACTGAAATAGTTGCAAATGGAAGTAAATATGGACATGATTTTATTTTATTTTATTTCCTTGTATGTTGTATCAATGAATGTGTGCATGATAGGAAAAATAAATTTTTATGCAATACATGTGTGTTAATTTGCATGTATGATGCTGTGTGTGGTATGTTTTAATGTCAATTCACTCTGTAAGATGTGTACAACTCTAAATTATGATGTCATAATGCAATGACGTCACAAAAACAATGACGTCACAATGTACACTTCACCAAAGAAATAACCCATTGTTCCCACTTTCAACACACATACAAAATAACCCTCTAAATTCTTATTCCTTGATGGATTTTGAAAACAAGACTAGTTTTAAAAAGGTCTGTGACTAATCTTTACATTAATGAACATATATTAGAGATATGTATTCAATAAAAAAAAAATATAATAGAAAACAAGACTATCAGGGTGGAAAAATTTCTTAAATCTGATAGTGTTTAAGTGAAAAACACTATATTTACATGATTTATCAACAAAAAAATTAGGATTTGTAGAACGTCTGTAAGGTAGAAGAGGCTTATGAATTGCAGTTATACCAATAAAAGTTAAAACAAATGTTTAAAATGTAAATTTATAACATATGCTTATTGTGTTTTTTTCTTCCTTAAAAAGGATATTGAACAGTTATAAACATTGCTACCTAAAAGTATTAAAATGAGCTTATTTTATTTCAGATATGGCTAAAACTTCACAGAATTGTTCAGAAATGTGTACTAAAGGGATACAAACTGCAATATAAGTGGAATCTGACATGAGCTGATCTAATATGGGTCAATATCCCTAATGGACCTTGATATGAGGAACACAGATTTATGACTCTCATTAAAAAATTAGTCCGCCATACAATTGTGGAAGCTGTGATTTTAAAAATTGACATAAATGAACTAGGACTGGTGTTTTATAGAGCTGATGTGATGTGAAAAAAAGTATAAAAAAATAAACCTGAACAAATAACTACAAAGGACATATTTTTTAATGATTTTTATGGTCAGAATTTTGGGATTATTTCCTGAGGAGAGTGACATTTTTCACTATCTTTCGGGGTTGGGCACTTGACGGGAAAACGAATCACACTTGCCACCCCGAAAATCGCACCACACATGTGCAAGTGTCTCAGCTTCAAAATGAGCCATCATGCATATCCAAGTTTACGATATGGCCTGAGCAACAGAAGAAAACGTTAACATTTCCGCCTATGGAGAATCTATTACGCATATTGCCCCATTTGGTTTAATTTTTAACTATAGGTATCCATGCATATGTCCTCCATCATTGTGCAAAATCAATACCGTATATACAGCTATAAAATGCATCGATATGACTAAATGCAAAACAATTCAACTGAGAAAATGAACGGTCAGAATTATGACAAAACAATAAACGAAAAACAAAGATAACAAACAAAATTCAGCGATAACTACTGAATTACAGGATCCTGAGTTTGGTCAGGCACATACATTATGCGGTAGGATTTGTAAACGCTTACCCCCTCCTAAACGATTCTATCATTGAAAAGAGCTTGACTCGTCAGACAGGCACGATGCATAAAAAAAAAAAATACAAACAAACGACAAAGTATTTTTCTAAAGATATGACAGAACTTTTCACAGATCACAGGCTTATAATTTGATACATCAGAAGCGTGTTTCGTTTACATAAGACTCAACAGTGGCACTCGAGTCAAAACAGACGGAAGGCCAATTCAAATACAAGGTCGAAAAACATTACAAACCAAAAATTGTAGTAAAAGCATTTGTTTGGTATTTGTGAACGGATGTATTCGTCCGAATTATCCTCATTGTTGGACTGTGTACGTTTTGCATCAATGAATTGCTTTTAAAAATGCCGATACAAATCAACTATTGTTAATAGTTTAGCATAAGAATCAAATGAGTCATGTAAACATGTTATTATCTTTTTTTATTCAAAACTTTAAACTCGATTTCCATACATCATCATATTTCATTTCTAGCTACATGTTTCTTTTGCTTTTTGTAGACCGGTTTTGACATGGCTATGTCGGTTTTTCTACGACTTATGAGTTCTGAATGTCCCTTTGGAATTATCTGCCTCTATTGTATAGATATTAAATTGTTGTTATTGTTATCTATTCTACCATTAAATCGGGCCGTTAATTTTCTCGTTTGAATTGCTTTACATTTGTCATTTCGGGGCCTTTTGAAGCTGACTATGCGGTATGGGTTTTACTCATTGCTGAAGGCCGTGCAGTGACCTATAGCTGTGAACTTCTATGTCATTTGATCTCTGGTGGAGAATTGTCTCATCAGCAATTATACCACATTTTTTATTTTTAATACTAGTTGTTTCGTTTGAAAATCAGATTTAACTTGAAATAGTTCAGCCAGTGTGTGTGTTATTTTCCGCATTACTTCAAAAACAGCATGTGCAATGTGCAAGTTTTTTTTTTCTTCAAAAGTATGTGACAGTTGTTGATCGACGTCTATGATAATTTTGTTTTTTACGCCATGGTAATGTTTTGTCAAACGATGTGTTATCCAAGTTTCACACTTTGTTAAAATGCTCTTTTTTTCAGACGATTGAATGGTGTATTTGGTGACTTAAATATTCCTGACCATCCTATTATACATTCCCAAAACACTTTGAATTTACATCGTGTCGATATACTTATTTTGCAATTGTATCGTACTATTATCTTTAGTTTATCAGTACATAATGTTTCTTGTATCTTTTATCGAAAAAGTTGGCCGAAACTTTCAAAACAGAGTACAACTAATAACTGCTTACTTTTCAATAATTTAACTGATGTCAAATGAATAACTGTATTGTTCTGTGACCTTACAATATCAGTTTTATCATGTGATCACGTTTTTCTGATGAATGAATAATACCAGGTACCATATGTAGAAGCATTACTTCAAAAGACAGCAATACAAATAAATAATATTTTCTAACATCGTGGATGGAATAGGCAAAAAAATCAAAAGATTGAGTGTGATAGGAATATGAAGGCCCGTTGGGTATTTACTACAAAAAGGTGAGATATGTAACCTTCACAAACACTTCAATCAAAGTATACTTGAATATGTACAAAGCAAAACTTTTGTTAATATCGGGGGGACGTTATATTTAGCATCCAAGCTTATTATATACTTTCCTTACCTAAGTATGCGAAAGACGTCAGTTTGCTCTTTTCCAAAAGAGGTGCCCAGCGACCAATTATTGAATTTCCAGAAGGGAGAACAACTCCCTGCAAATGAAATAAATTAAACTGTACTTAAAAGATAAATAGAGGCAAACGAAATTATTAAACTTAATATATCCATTACAATTTAAAAATTGGCAATCGAATTATAAAAAAATAAACTGATGTAACCGTATGGACTCCAAAATGTATCCGTAGACAGTGTTAGCGTCTCCTGCTTGCATGCATCATCCACCATGCACATCAACACTATGTCAAAATGTCACACAGGCAGAAATGGGACATAATCAGTAAATATTCAGATAGGAAGACTATACTGGTATCTAATGATTTGTTTACCTTGAAAACATGTTGCTAGTGAGTTAGATACGAATACAATGTCACAGTCAATCTACTCTTGATGATGAGTGTAAAACTTGTGTATACGTAGAGTCGATTTCAGTCGTTCTTCCTCATAACTCTGTTCGAGCAGTATTGTGTAAAGTAAGTCCATATAGGGAATGCAATGAACCCTTAACTTTTTAAATAAATTGAAAACTATAGATTCCGCAACAAGAACGCTTTCAAAATCTAGGACGAACTGGAAATTGGCAACAGGTATGAGCTAATACGAACAGGCTGGTTTACAAATATGGTGATAGGCCGTTCGTTCATTTGCATTTATCGAACATTTTTTCCATTCGTAGGACTTCAACTGATAAATGTTACGTAATGTGATGTGAATCTATGGACGCAAAACAACTTTTAAACAGTCATCAGCTTAATAATCCATGTTTCACAAGTTTTAGAGAGGTGTTGAAAGCGGAGGCAATTTAATACCAATATAATAAAAATGAAGATAGCTATTGTTTTGCTTTTTACAACTAATAGTTTCATAATTATTAAATCTGGTAAGTTATACTTTTTTTCCAAGAACCTTATGTGTTTATGTACATGACCACATTTCGATATTTAGATTAAAGTGATTATTTAAAAATATTATTCGGCAGGTACAATTTAATCTCGACAATGCAGTAAAAAAGTGTTGCCTCTGGATTCTCAATTTCTGGTATCTTTGAAGAGTTTCATTACATTTATTATTTTTGACAGTTGTTTTCCATTTAATTGAAGTGTTTGAGATTTAGATTTAGCGATTTGATAAAGAAATTTTTCTTGGAGTTCTGCATTTTATTTATTTAATTTTTGTAGACAGTTAAAAAAATGTTTATGTTATAATTCAGACATTGCATATTATATCGACTGATTACCATACAACTTATTTATTTTAATTTAATTTAAGTAGTTAGGTACATTTCATCATGTTCATTGGTGAACGAATATATTATTGTATTATCTTCGCAAAGAAAGTGGATTGAGTTTAATATTCAGTTTCAATATTCATACATTCCAGCGTTCGTTTTTATTTCTGGTACAAGTTTTTTTTAATGTGTGTTTTCATTATTTATGCAACCTTTCAATATGGACATCTGCCCCTCTTAAAGGAGTCTGTAGCAAAATATGTTTTGCATTCAAACATAGTTATACATTCCCTCTTCGATCTATGTATGTACTCACTGAAGAAAGTCCTAAGATAACACGTACTACAAATACTGCATTCACAGATGCTCTGGCACAAACTGGTGTCACGAATGAGCAAATACCAGCTATTATCAAAGCCAAGCCAAAAACCCGTCTGCCACCATATGTATCCGAAAACCACCCTCCAATGATTTGGGTGCATATAAACCCATAGAAAAAAGGAGGAAAGTAATTTTGCTTGAGTCAATTTGTCCCTATCAAATTCTGCATTCTGAAAAAGATAGAAAAGTTTTAGCCAATGAAACACTGCTACTGGTGAACACGAAAATAGCAACATTAAAACATAAATACGATAAATAAATAACAATTTAATCATTCGGTTGATAATAAGTGAAAAAAAAAAATTGGAACGTTTTAGCCAATGAAATACTACTACTGGTCACAACATGTAAGTGTTTCAAAAACACGAAAAGAAATGATGGATAATACGCGACAAAAATAGCACAAAAAATATTTCACAACGATATTTCTGGATAACGGTTGAACGGTAAAATATTTTAGGTTTTTGCAATACATTTATAAAGGTTTATTTTGTTGGGTTGGTTTTTCTCACATGGCATATTCTTTATATTTATATCCTTTAATTGGTTGTTTTACAATATAATTGCGTATTAAAAAAAATTGGCAAACAGTTTCGTATATAATACATGTACATGTATGTTCATTATCGATTGCATATGCTAAACGAATTTTCAGAGAAATACTAATACGTGTACGACCACCAGTTGTATAGCTTTAATCTGAAAATTGACCTCAATAGAAAATTCGTCATATATATGGTTCCTGCAGTGCTCCGAAAAACTATTGTTAAAACGGGTTGTATTTGCCAAAACATTTAGGAATTTTTGGTCCTCAATGCTCTTCAACTTTTTAGTGGTTGTCATATTTCATTGGTGGAGGAAGCTGCAGTCGCCATAGAGAACCTCCGACCAGTGAAAAGCAAACAA